AACGCTTAACCAATTGGAAACATGATACAGCTATGGTACTCCAGTGTCTCTGTCTTTGAAACCAAATGTCAAGCCAGTATTTCATTCATAACACTCAGTTCCTTATGCTGAAGTGATGCTGGTCGACAACCACCCTGGTAGAGTGGAGGCATTGGGTTTTCTCTAAATAATTACATATTCTCCATCGACTGCTCCAATGGTAGTTGTTCACACACCAAATGCTTTTGTTTGACTGTGCTCAGACGTTCCAACTGGTTTGAATAATGCCCTAGAAGATCATATTTATCTAATACCAAATCAGGAAGATCTATTTGTTAGACCAAATGGTGGAAAATGTTTTGCTAAAATCGATCTCTGAGATGCGTATCTTCAAACAGAGATGGAATCAAATCCCAGAGAGCTGTCATCGACGTCTTCACCAATATACACGCCTTCCATTCGGCGTCAAGCCATCACCTGCCATCTTCTGGCAACCAACCAACCTGGAGTTTCAGTTTATTTAGATGATGTGATCGTCACATGCAACAGTAAGTCTGAATTGTTTGAAAGACTTGATGCCGTCCTTTCTAAAATGTCTGAATTTAGTTTTATCTTAAAAAAGACAAGTGTACATTTTTTATGGATTCCATGAATTATCTTAGTTTTGTCTTCGACCACATTCAGAGAATGCATAAGCTGTCCAGAATTTTCCCTCTTCATAAAGCCTTTTGACAGTACGGTCTTTTCTTGGTCTCATCAGTTATCACAGTGTTTTCCTACTATAACTTCACTATTTACGTGCTGTGCTGAATCATTTGCTGTCTTAAAATGTGACATGGAATTGACCTCCAGTGTCAATATACTTACAACAAGGTGAAATCACTCCTCATACTGGATATGTCACTTATTTATTATGATCCTGATTTAGAAATTATCGTTGTTGAAGACGCATCTGATAATGACAATGTTGCCATTATTTCTCACTATTTTCCTGATAGCAATAAGAAAGCTATTGCGCATGCTTCTCGAACTCAAAATGCAGAGAATCGTAAATACAGCCAGATTGAGACAGTAGGACTGACACTTATTTGTGCAGTTAAAATGTTCCACAAAGTGCTACATAGCAGGAGGTTCACTCTATTCACCGAACACAAATCTTAATTGTCAATATTTGACAGAAAGAAAGGTATTCCAGTATATACTCCAAATAGTCCTCACAGATAGGTTGTAATGTTGCTGGGATATCATTTTGACATCAAATACAAGTCAGCCTCGAAGTTTCGGCAAGTGGATGATTTATCACGTCTGTTGAGTAGTCAAAAGTTGGACAGTGAAGACGCCGACATTCCGTCACTCTCAGTTGAAGATGACGTAATCAGAGTTCTTGCATATGCTACTCAACTACTTTCAGTGACTGCAGATCAGGTTCCCTTCACACCCTACGGTATCCACTTCTGCAGCGAGTCCTGACACCACACTAGATTCAGTGTTCACAAATGACTATAGTGTATATGAAGTTCGTAAAATAGCTTGGCTAATTAGTTCTGACCACAGTTTTGTAAGCGTTTCATCTAAAATGTATGGCAAATTATGCAAGAAGGCATTTAAAAACCTATGGTTGAAAGTTCAGTACATTCGCTTTTCACAGCATAATATACTGCAATTCGGAAGTATGTTTAAACAATTAGACTAGGATATATTGGTCGAAGTTATAGATAACCCTGTCGCCAATATCACAAGCTATCTTGCATTCTCCTCTGGTGAAGGGATTTTCATAAGATTTGACAGAATTTCTTCCCCTCATCTAAAGAAGTTCTGAAGGAAAAAGGAAAGCTTGATTAAGACGAAAGATTATCCTGGAGTTGAAAGACTTAACCGTCCAAGTAAGTTTCAAATGTAACATCTAAAAACGATATAAAACCAGAAGTTCCTATCGTGCAAGAACTCCTCTATTATATGATGATTATGCAAAGAACTTACTGGCAGAAAACTTAGGAAACCTGATCCGATTTCCGTGCGTTGAATCAGTCTTCTATATTGTTGGCTAGCTGATTTCATCCTTCCTAGTGCCTATGGGTGAATGGATAGTTGTTGTCTTGGTTTTAATACAGATAATATTTCCGAATGTCTTAAATCCTTGAATCCATCCCAAAGCCTAGATCCTGATGGTGTTCCAGGTATTATACTTAGAAATTGTATAGATACTTTAGTTATCCTCATATCCTCATGCATCATTTTACATGAATGCTACACCTGCTGTTTGGAAGATTTAAATTTTATCGACATGTTCACTGTGTCCTCTAAGATTACATATCAGTTGACCACTCTAGTTAACTAAGCTAGCCGTTGCTCATACTCACCCTTGAGTTATAAACTGATTTCATTCTTATCTTTCTGAAACAAATCAGTATCCTATTTATGAAGTGAACAGCTAGATTCTTTTGGTTACTGAAGCCAGTCTGCATCAAGATGCAGTACTTTCTCTGTTTCATTTCTTTTCGTATAGCTTACCTTATTCTACGAGAGCTAGTTTCAGTGAGTGTGATGATGCTCTGGTGGTTCCCGTTACAGTTTTCTCTCAGTTAGATTGCTTTCAACTAGTTGGTTTCTTATGTGAAATTGATCAGCAGTCTTCTTTAAATAGTCTTAAGCTAAACCCTTCTAAATATCAGGCTGTTTGAACGAACCTCAAGGGTAAACAAGACTTCTTTAAACTGCTTTAGTTTCATGTATTATTATTGATGGTTTGACTTTAGATAGTAAATCAAATGCTACCTAACTAGGAATGAGTCTTTCTTCTCGTCTTTGTTTAACATTTCATATCTTGTCGACTTCCAACAAAATCTTTCCTTTAAAATATCACGCAAGGAAGCTGAGACTCTCTGGCATAACTCAGTCTCTACTTTACAACTAATTAATTTCTGTACTTTATCAATTATTCTTCAATGTTCTCCGTTAATCTTTACTGACCTACTAAAAAGGGACTATGTTATATTGAGTGGGGCCTTAAAAGCTGTCAGTAGATTAATTGTTGTGCCTCTGGTCCAACTGATTAACACTGTAATTCAGTTGTTTTGTCGGATACTGAGTCCACAGCTCTCTCTTTATATCTAGCTCCTCAGGGAGCAATTATATAAGGTTTTGCGCTTATACAAGAGTTCAACTGTGCCTCATCTAACATGCATCTTTTTTTAACAAATAACATGTTAAGACAGAACTCACTCATCAACTTTGTAGAAGTAAACAATTACTTTTGTCAACATTACAAACATTTATGTATGACTGTCATCATTATGGATATTATGTACATGATATAAACTGCTATATTTACCATTAATCGAAATGTTGAAAAGGAGTACACTTTTGTTGCAAATCAAACAAACTGAGATCGCAAAATTGTATCAACAGAAAGTACTTATTTCTATAATTGGTGTAAAACTTATGAAGCTTGGCACAGTCTAATAAAATGGATAATTATTACTGAATAAAACAGATATCCCCATGAAAATGATTTCGAAAATCCAAGTTATGACAAACCAATACGGCGTTTATTCACATCATATTAAAAGTAGAGGTTAAACGTAAGTAATTTGATACTTGTCTACTAGTTGACAAGATACTTTCATGTAGAATAACGAACTATAGATGTAAAGTAAGATTGGACACTGATCAGTGAAAAGGGTGAAATCCGCTAGCCACAACAAACAAATTACATGAATTAAACCAATTAATAAATCTCCACAAACCCCTGGATTGAATTAGTGTTGAATTGTGTCCCATAACATGATGCTTCAGAACACGTCTACAATGACGCCTAGTTTAAAGGTAAGGAGTGAAGTCAGGGATTACATTGACAACTACTGACTAAAAAACTACTCTCTCAGCAATAATGAGCACGTTCATGCAGTAGACATTGAGTCATATTCATTGTGTGGGGGGTAATCATATTAAATAACTGTCTAGACTTCAGTACGTGGAGCAGGAACTGAACCCATGAGCCATTATTTGGAAGTCAAGTGTCTAGACCAACGAGCCTCAGTTCAGATTTCTCAGCTGCTGGCAGATTCTTACCTTGGATATAAAAAAGCCTGCTTGACACTTCCCAATTATAATGCCAAAGAGATATTTGACTACAAATCAAAAAACCTGTATACTACGAAGTAATTCCATTTGTCCTATTGTACAGCTGCAATATACGGCCGTTGAAATTAGAAAATATGAAGAATTTACAATTTTCTGAATATACATACTTTCATGACATTGCTCATATGTGATCGAATCATCGTGTAATCAATATCTAGCTACGGCATAGACTGATGTAGGGTTGATTTGGAAGAAAATTAAAGGTGAATAGACAAACCTGTGATACTGGTTTATAAAGTCTCTGAGTTTTAGCCTGAGGCTGACCAATGTCCCGAAGAGGACAGAGAGACAGTGCTAAAAATCACTCACAATAGTGTGAATATATACACAATTTTTCATATTTGATATTTAGGACATTTTTATTAACTATCTGTTTCTAATGTCTATTACTCTTCTTATACACACTTCTGTAAGTTTTCATGACATCCATTTTCTGTTCACCTTTCTAAACATGTTTCCGTTACCTGTGACAATTTCGACTGATACACTTTTGTATTAGCTGTCATCCTGATCTATATTCCATACTCATAAATTTGAGATATTTACGCTGACATTTTAATTCTTCTTTATAAACATCTCAATCCACCCATATTAATATTGACAATTCAGTTAAACTATTGCAAGTACACTGAATAAGAGAGAATAACAGTTGTTGACCAGCTACTTAACAGTTGTATATAAGTGTAGAGATAGCTAAATTTGATAATGTAGATTTCTTTTTATTTAACACAATCAGTAAATCTGAAAACCTGTTTCACCTATTCAAGTTTTAAGAAGTCAATATAAAACTCATACCCTCTTGAGGTTAGTATAGAACTTTACCCAATTGATGTTTACTACTTATTGTGAATAAGTAGTAATTCAACAAATAAACAATATGCTAATATCAAAGAGATATTATTATACAAATACGCATTACAAAATGAAAATGAAGAACACAGCAGTAATAATAATGACAATTATTACTTGAAAGTTATATATTGCCGATTAATGGCTAGTGGTTTATATGCGTAGTTAAAATGGTGTCAATGATACTGGCTTTATCAATTGACTGAGCGAATTAATAAATGTATGCGCTGTTAAAAAACCCGTTGTAATAATCACAAACTCAATATTAGCTGAAATGATGAAAAAGAAGCGAAGAAAGCATATATGATCACTTGAATTATCTTAGTGATTTTTATCATTGTGTATATATAATTTTCACTATAAAATAAATCAAGCTGAATAATAAATAGTAGATGTTTAATTGAAAAATCTTTTGATTAAAATACCTTCAACCAATCTATTGAGACCTATTGCAAAATACAAAAGACCCTGCTGAAAAACATTCACCTATCAAAAAATCCTATTAACGGTGTACAAGTGAACTTCTAACAGATCACACAGTACTTTAGTCAATACGATAGGTGTATTTCTTCAGGAGATTCAAAGTCTTACTGTATCTACAAGATGGAATGTGCACAATGAAATGCTTAACACAGAGAAAAAAAACTGGACTAAAATTGAGCCTGTAAAAGGTTCCCTATTCACCAACAATACACTAAAATATCGACACACTCATTACATTTAAATCATTCGGATAAAGTCCAAAAACAGATAAAACGTTTAACTTGAATAAATCAAACAAAATCGAATAAGAATTTATCAAATAGGCAATGTAAACAAGTTGGATCAAGATTCACCCAATCTCCATATACTAACACAATCTGCGCTACAGCCCATTCTATCCTGTTATAAGGCTGTGAGACATAACAGTTAAAAGTAGAAGATATGCAGCAGCTACAGGGTTTTGACCACATATACCTACGTAAAATTGCTCACGAACCGTGTGAACAACGTTCAGATCAGGCGAACGGTACTGGACAAGATAGATGAGTCGATTGACCAGCTTGCGAATCTTCATCGACTGAGATGACTTGGAAATGTAATGCACATCCTAGCCACCACCTGCCTCGACGTGCCATAATAGGGGATAAGTTGAAGTAGGTTGGAAGAGGGTTCAGCGTGGCCAGGCCAAGACATGGCACCAGTCCAGGAAGTCTCTTCCTGTTGGCCTCAGTCGTATGACGCGATGTTGATTGTCTGGTTGGTATATCCGAGACGAAAGTAAGTAATCAGTGGTTGAGGACTGTTGGTGATATGAAAGGAAATCGGTCACAATAGTGTAGGTGTATTCACTCCTTGACATCTTCTGAAGCTTGAATATTCACACTAACCTTTTTCTTCAGATTGTTTATTCTCTCACACAACTTTGTTTACTCTGCTATCAGTCTTATTGTATCCACCTGTTCTGTGTATTCTATTTTGAAGTGTGACAACTTGAGGTGATGCACATGCGTGTGAGATTCTACGTTGATTTTGTCAGTTGTCAGTCAGTTATAATCAACACAAGTGCAATAAAAATAATGAGTAAATATATACAAGTATAAATTGAAATGAGCGACTTGTACACTCATCGGACCCTGTGTACAAAACTCATGAATTCATTCATTACCGATATATAGACATCGACTTTTCCATATTACACTAGCTAAATCTACATCTGCCAGGCTACTTCAGAAAAGTGCATTAAACTAGGATTGGAATATAAGAGAAAATGCATAACTGATGTAGACATTTGCTACATACAAAAGAATACTACTATAATATAAATTGTGTTATAAGTGAGGTTCAGAACTACTGAAATACACACTAATCCCCTAGCAACTCTGTTAATATATTGCCCGACAAAGTTCGAATGTCTAGTAGATTTTCTTATTATCTGAGTAAATCTGTTAACCGTGACAGTTTATTTGCCAATGAAAATGGAACAGAGACAAGATTTGATTTATGTTCACCTTACATGTAGTGTGAAACATTCAATTATCAATCAACAGTTAGGTAGACAAGGCAGTTCCACTCTGCAGTCAGTTACTGACATTCAAGGTAGCAGAGGGCATTCATTTGCTTCCACCAAGTGATACTGTAAATTGAGCTGCTCAGTTGGACGGAATACGAGTGACATAGAAGGCAGATTTATAGTAGAATCCTCAAGAAGTGATAAGAATGACTGACTGTCAGTTTACAGTCTGTGGAATTCCTAGAAAACTTGTTGCAACTGATGACTGTAGCTAAGATTGATAAGCATACAGGATTGCATTTCAACGATGTTCCCTTGTTGAAACATAATAACCCAAAACACATACTCTGTTGTATCACCATTTACTAGTTAGACGAATACAAGCTAATACATCCAACCACACAAAGATTATTCCATTTTTCAATTCATCATACGAATAACATCTAGTTAATACGGAGAAGATCAGTATTGAACATGCATGATTTTATACGACAAAGTATAGAAAATGATATGAAACATACGAAGAAAACCCTCAAACAAGCAATTAAACTGCGATTACTGTCCACTTACAGTCTTCAGCAGCAGCTACGGTTCTTAGAGTTGATATTTCTGCATGGCTTACACCACCAACAAAACCGACAACTACAACGCGGGGTTTATTTGGGTTATTCTTGGTAACATTATTCGATGCAAAACGAAGATCATCACTAACTGGTATTTGTACTTCTTCTAATTCTGGAGCACTGATTAAATTGGACAGTGACGTTGTACGATTAGCAGCTGTATATAGTGACTGATTTGGAAGAGAAATACGTTGCCTTCCTGTTATTCGTGATGATATTGTCGGAGTGTTCGGATCAAGTATGCTTTGTGTATTAAACTCGGGCAACACAGACATTTCTAAACTATCAGCTGAACGAAGACCTGAGACTAATCGCGTCCCCGACAATATGGCATCTGTGGCTCTTGATAGCAAAAAAGCACCAGCTCCACTACTGGTCGAATTAGACTGACCTGTTGTAGAAGCAATTGCTGACGACAGATTCCACTTAGGATACCAATTACTTGTCCATATTTGAATAAGACGAGTGGATATAGGGACATAACCAGAAAATATGTTGGATACAGCTTGATCAGAATCATTGACACCATCAGGAATAGATGGTATAAGTCTTAAATTCCCCTTCAATACTGAATTGTAACTATTACTTATGTTGATGACTGTTTGTTTTAGACCTGTTGATAATTTCGAATACGTTAGACTGCTATTTCTGAAATTAATTTTTTCTTGAGGTGTAAAATCTGATGTCTGTATGCTATTTATCATATTGTTGGAGGATTCATGTAGTAAGCCTATCCGTTCCAAATTGTCCAGTGTGAAAATATTCTCAAAACCATAAACCTTGACAAACAAAATGTAAACGGAATAAAATACCAACGTATATCATTACTCATTTCTTAAGAGCATTACTGTCATTCATATGAACATGACTGAAAAGTTTTGAAAAGTCAATTCATACTGTTTCGTCCATTTACAATATAAACGAAATTTAGTCGAGCGTTCGGTCCATCGGACAAAACTTATCTGCTCAGATGACACTTTGGATAAAGAACTCCGAACTATTCACGACCTACTACTCAGTAGTAATAGATAACCAGAAAAGTTTCTGGCTAAAAATATGAACACATCTAATATAAAAATCAGAGTACCTACAGTTTCCAAGAAGCCGCTGTTCCTAACACTACAGCGGTTTCGGGGTGACATCATCAATGCCTAAGGAAAGACATAACTGGATCATAAAATGCAGCAAAACTATGCTGTCCATTCTACAGTCGACCGATGATCACTTCGCGAATCAAATGCCGGCTACCTAACTTCGCCTCTCCAATGTACATCTACTAGTTCAACTCCTCCTAGTTACATTGGGCGCACAGTTAGGTCATTTTGTCATCCAATCGCTGAACATCATCCATTATGATCAAGTAAAGGGCAAACAAGATCGATATGGAGCTCAATACTTTCACGCATGGTCGACACTGGTCACCGAGTTAATGTTCACACCACCTTTGAGATTATTTATCATATTCCTTCAAATCTCACCTATGCTATACGAGTTCGTCTTTTACATACAGCAGAAGCCATCACAATCCACCTGAACAACCCGAGTTCATCTCTTCACAAGAAACTCGCATAGCCTCTCTCTTTGCCTTGCCTATCTGTATAGCTTACCTGTAAGAAACATTACCCTTCCTTTCATTCATCTCACAAACGTTTGTAATTATTATTATTACTGTTTTAGCGTTTTTGCCCCCACCCCCCACACCCTCTCTTGTCTCTAATTACTATCAACAAATGACCACAAAATGATAGTTCGTTTTCTCTTCTCTTCGTGTTAGTGACCACTACACAAGCTATCAATTATGCGACGACCTTATTAGATTTGTTTATTAGACAGGTAGACCACAGTGATACATGATGACAACGTTCCCATAAATTATCATCGCCCATAATCAGATCAATGTATTCACATTCCTTTTGATATCTGACTTTTATAATCCTGTCACCTGATATTCTTTGTTTTTATTCCTAGTAAAGTTTTCCGTATCTCTGGTACAGGTGTTGCGTCATTCCTATTACATGTGTTCACTGGGTGTAGATTCGATAAACAAAGATTCAGTAATCAATCTCTGTCTCTCTCCACCTAACTATATTGCACTTAAGTACGGTGGTTTTATCTCACCCATCTAACTGTGTAGTTGTGTGTTAACGCATCCATTGCAACTGCCGAGATTTTGTCTAGAGTATTGATCTTATTGGTGTCTGTCATTCCAGATTTAGCTAAATTCCAATGTTCCGCTAATTAATCTAACCGACCCCGACCGGCTACTTTCACACCTATGTAGTTGACCTTACAGTCTTTGCATGGAGTTTGGTAGATTAGATGATTTTGCCCAATTGGATCTAAGAATGTTAAAAAAATCTTCACCGTCAAAATTACAAGAAAACAAGCTTATATGTCTTCTTTCAAATAGATATATTGAATCCTTAAGCTGATGAAGCTTACCTCTAAGTGAGTTTGCTAACAAAATGTTAGCACATAAGAGTACATAATATGCATTACTAAAATAAGTTGGGGGGGGGGATCAAAACGACATGGTAGCCGGAAAGCATCATAAGCCCTCATGTAGTATGTTTGGCTTTTTATTTATTATTTATTTATTTGTCCCTTGGGTTCCTAGTGGAACACAGGGCTTCAGTAGCACGCCTCCATTGCACTCTCTTCTCTGCAGTCTTTTGAACCTCGCTCCACCACTGCCCACAAGCCTTCATTTCTTCTTCACACGATCTCCTCCATGTCACCCTCAGCTGGGACGCCTAACTCGTCGTTCCCCCTTTAGATCCCATTCGAGGGCCGGGCCTGAGGCGTGATGTCCCAATCGGCCTTCTCATTGTATGCCCAATCCATCTCCACTTTCGCCTGCATATCTGTTGGGTGATAGGTTTTTGGTTGGTTCTTCGCCAGGCCAGAGTTCCTTGTCGCTTATTCTTATTATTCTGGTCACCCATCTTAACTTCAGTATCGTGTGAACGTAGGTTGCAGCTGTTGATGAATGTCAATAGTTTGTTGGAAGTGGTTTTCGTAACGCGTCAAGTTTCTAACCATATATACCAGCACTAACTTGATATTGGTGTTAGAAACATCTGGATCTTGTTCTTTGTGTTGAGTGCAGTAGATCTCCATACCGATTTCAGATTAGTGAAAACCTGTCTTACTTTTCCGATACTGGTTCTGACAACCTCATCTGTGCCTGTGCCGCCTGCAGTTGAAACGATGCTGCCTAGGTAGAAAAAAGAGGCTACTTCCTTTAGGTTCCACCCGTTAATGGTGATTGGTGCTTGTTGTTGATGCTGTTGTCGGTTGGGTATCTTCATCACCTCCATCTTCTCGACATTCACTTTAAGTCCCATCCTCGCTGCCTCTCCTGTCAACTTGTTAGTTTTCGCCTGTAGATCTTCGAGTTCGTGCAACAAGACATTAGACATAAATCATCGGGGAAATCCAAATTTTCTAAACTCTTTTTATCGGTCCACCGTATGCCCATCTTCTCGCTCCTCACGGTTTGCTGCATGATCCAGTCCACCACAATCAAGAATATCATGGGTGATAGTAGGCAGCCTTGTCTTATCTTACTCCTATCTTCACTTCAAAAGCAGCACTCAGCTTTCCATTGTGTTGTGAACCACTTGTCATGTGGCGTTTTCATATAGCGGTTGAATGAGGTTGACAAAGATTTGTGGCACTAAACCGTAGTGTTGAAGCAACTGCCAAATTGCTTCTCGGTCGACGCTGTCGAAAGCCTTTTCAAAGTCGATAAAGTTGAGGTGAAGAGCTGACTGCCATTCTATGTTCTGTTCTATGATCATGCGTTAGCGTTGCAATTTCATCCACACATGATTTGCTTTTCCTGAAACGAGCCAGCCAGGCTGTTCCGGTCATAGTTTTGAATCCAGCGCATCTTTCAGTCTCTCAAGGATGATGCAGCTTAATGTTTTGCTTAGGGTAGACAGCAGCATGATTCCTCGCCAGTTCTTGCAAAGGCTTAGGTCACCCTTCTTTAGAAGTTTGACAAGGTAGCCCTTCTTGCAATCCATCAGCAGGTACCTTTCCTTCCTTCCAAACCTTCTGCAACAGTGGTATGAGCATGTCCGCTGTTGTCTCTGTCTGTCAGCAGTGCTTCTGGTGGAATTCCACCTAGTCCTGCTGCTTTCCCGGATTTCAGTGACTTTGTGGCGTTTAGGACTTCGGCTTTTATCGAAGGACTTGTGTTCACTGGTAGATCTGCGGTCGGAATGCTGGTAATATTTCTGGACAAGCTGCAGGTGATGGTGGTTGATTCAAGAGTTTTTTGAAGTGGTCAGGCCATCGTTTTCTTAGTTTTCCCCCCTTGCTAACTAGGTTTCCTTCACTATCATCTTTCATTGGTTTCATCTCAGTTGATCTGTTCCTAGATGGTAACCTGATTATTCGACAAAGTGTTGTCAGGTCTCAGTCTCTCCTACCTGCTGCCTGTTCTGTTTCACTTCGAAGTGTGATGTAGAAGTGTCTTTTGTCTCTCCGCGCACTCTTCTTCACTTCCTTGTTCAGTGTAGTGTTTTATTTTATAGGTTGTGTTCAGTTCCTCTCTTCGTTGTTCATCCCTCCACTCCTTCATCTTCTGTTTCACCATCACCATTTTTCTCTCCCTCATCTATCAGCTTCCATGTTGTCGCCGAGATCCACTCCTTATCTTCTTTCTTCTTCCTTCCTAACACGGTTATGCAGGTTTCTTTCCACATCTCTTTCAAAGAGTTTCAGTGTCCTCCCACTCAAGTTTCTCAGCGTCTCCCATTTTTTCCTGATGGCTGACGTGAAGATGTCCCTTGTGGTTTCGTCATTCAGTTCAGTTTCTGTTCTGGGTGTTCAACTCCAACTTCAACTGTGGTCTATCCCCAACTTCTTTGAAGGCTTTCAACTCTATTTAAAAGGTAGGTTTCTTGCACTAGATAGTGAGTGGTGTGAACCTACATCTGCTCCCCTTCTCGATATATTGTGTCCAGTAGGCTGCGCATCCACTTTCCTCACATTGAGATCAAGTCAATCTGAGTTTTAGTGCGGTGTGTCCATCCGGTGAAATCCATGTCGCTTTGCCACTATCCTTGTGTTTGTACACAGTGTCTCAAATCACCAAGTCAGTAAATGTGCAAACGTCTGCAAACAGTTCTCCATTCTCGTTCATTTCACCGAGTGCTTCTCGACTCACCATTGGTTCTCTTCCTGTGTTGTCCACTCCCAGTTCGGCATTCATGTCATCTCACCCATTAGAATTTCGATGTCACCAACTGGGGTGGAGTTTTGTCCATAACTGATTGCAGTTGTCTGTAGAATTCCTGCTTCTTCTCTTCGTCCGCGTTTGCATTATTTGTAGGTGCGTAGTGTAGCATTGTATGATTGTAACTTTCCTCCCTTTTGGGTTGAATCTTGCTGTCATAATCTGATCCGGCAGGAGGAGATTGACTCCAACTGCATGAGAGCCTTCGATGCTCTTGGGAGGGGACACCATAATAGCCACTCGAAAACTCAGTGTGCTAGTGGTTGTCGTCTGGATGACAATATCGCAGCAGATTATTGACTCTCCAGTTCACAGGTTGGTGAGTTCACTTCGATTCCATCTGCTTTCGCAGATTCCTAGCACTTCTATGCTTTACCTTCTCATCTTTTTGGCAATCTGGGCAGTCTTGATAGGTTCAAACATTGTTCGGACATTTCATGTCCCCGTGTTTGCTTCCGCTTTCATCGAGGGAGAGAAGATACATCGGCCAATTGGCTTCCTGAAGGCTTCCACCAACTGGCGTCATTTCGTCTCTCCGATCCCAGCGAGGAATAAGTTTATTTTTATGTTTTATATTTTTTCTGTGCTTTGAAGTTTCTGTAGCGACTGAGTTTGTTTTACGGGGTAGAGTTGCTAGCACTATGCCCAATCTTCCCTCTTTATCCGGGCGTAGGGCCGGCTAGTAATCAGTGAACTAGTTAACTAGGCGAGGTTATGATTCAGGTTAATAATTAGTAATTCATGGACAGGTGTTGTATCTCAGGAAACTAAAGTCTTCTTACTTCAAGATAGTAACAATATGTATCCTTCGGAATAGCTTGAGTAAGTTTATAAACGTTTGCGATTCGTTTCTAATCTACAAAAGATTTGATTTCAGATTGGCACACATCGATGTCTTAATTGAAGCGGTCGAATACTTCAATAATTTTGCTTACAAGCAGAATTCAATTCAGCTAGCTGGATTGGTGACTAATGTCATCTCTATTTCCATAAAAATGATGCTTACGATTTTTGACACTCATGGTGCAATGCACTGAATGTCTACTTAGGAGACACTACAATCTTTACTAACATACACATAAACAATACAAGAACTGATGGTGGAGGACATAAGAAGTTTACGTATATCTCATCATTCATGTTTTTGAAGCCTTTGTTTCATGTGATAGAATCACCAAGTGAACAGTGTTCGGATTAAGTGCATACTGTAAAGTATACGCAGTAAATCACTCCACGAAGTCATAGAGCATTTTTGACTTTCGCTGTTAAAGAATGAGTATAGAGTATGAACGCTTAAGTTATAAAGAAAATTGTTTAACAGAATTAAGCTTATAGACTTGATTAACATGAAGTTCAATTCACAGAATTACAAGGTGATTTCTAATGAAAATATATCTAACCTTATATAATATGCATAACACTAGGATAAACTAACTTGTATTATTTCGTTCTTGTAATATTCCAAAAGTCGTTGTTTTAACCCTCCATTACAAAAAGACTGAATGCAGATCAAACGAAGAACCTATGAAAGGAGTAAAAGTAATAAATTTACTCTAGAGAATCATCCAACCAAAGAATAAACAAGTGAAATGATAACAAAAGAAAACATTCATCTACTACAATCTGATCATTTTATATTGTGGTATGAGGTGATGACTAAAAATGAAATAAAAGCTTAGAGTAGCAGTAGAATATGAAACACCAGCTTCCGGATCATCGACCCGGCTGCAATGTAAACGCCTGATACACAACCATAATCACAGAATCGGCTCAACTAGGACTTCTCTAATCTGAATTCAAATCAAGTTGAATTACATGAAAAGTATCTGATAGGAAGTGACCAAAAATGAAAATCATCATTTAAAGCCATTCACCGTTGGCATAGAAATATTTTCCTTTCAGATCTTCATTTATGTCCATGTATGGTCAAATTAATTTTACTGAACAATTTTATCCTTCAGCTGATCTTAGTCACTTCATTTTTTGAGTAGAAAATGTATATAAATACTGTTTTTTTGTCAAATAAAGTTGTCTTCCTTAAGTCAGTCATAGGAATATCTTTTGTCATCTGATTTTCACGACTCCGTGAAGTATCAGATGTGGAGGAGAATAGTAGCATTATTCATATCAAGTACAGGTATCTCGTTTCAGTTATTATTAGAACCCACGTCCAACTCCGACTTAGTCATATCAGTAGCGTAGCGATTGTTTGATGAGATTATCTAATATGGATGTTTTATATCCCTCAATCTGAGGTTCTAGGAAAAAACAGACGGTTCCGCATATAACAGTGAATTATTCACCGAACATACGAAATGTACAGAAGTCAAACTCATACACTAAACAGTACACGTAATGTCGGAATCAAATTTCTCTATTCCTTATAACACATCTCATTAATGTGCACATCATTACTAACGATCAGAATAAGAAGTGAACAGTCAATCTATAGATGTCACCCGTAAACTTAGCAAGATATATCTTGCAAATTATATAACTAACATAGCTGATTCAATACTTAACATCATTCAATAACTATGAGAATTCATAATACACGAATTTATAGGATATTTTATACAGACACTGACTGACTGACAACTGACAAAATCAACGTAGAATCTCACACGCATGTGCATCACCTCAAGTTGTCACACTTCAAAATAGAATACACAGAACAGGTGGATACAATAAGACTGATAGCTGAGTAAACAAAGTTGTGTGAGAGAATAAACAATCTGAAGAAAAAGGTTAGTGTGAATATTCAAGCTTCAGAAGATGTCAAGGAGTGAATACACCTACACTATTGTGACCGATTTCCTTTCATATCACCAACAGTCCTCAACCACTGATTACTTACTTTCGTCTCGGATATACCAACCAGACAATCAACATCGCGTCATACGAGTGAGGCCAACAGGAAGAGACTTCCTGGACTGGTGCCATGTCTTGGCCTGGCCACGCTGAACCCTCTTCCAACCTACTTCAACTTATCCCCTATTATGGCACATCGAGGCAGGTGGTGGCTAGGATATGCATTACATTTCCAAGTCATCTCAGTCGATGATAATTCGCAAGCTGGTCAATCGACTCATCTATCTTGTCCAGTACCGTTCGCCTGATCTGAACGTTGTTCACACGGTTCGTGAGCAATTTTACGTAGGTATATGTGGTCAAAACCCTGTAGCTGCTGCATATCTTCTACTTTTAACTGTTATGTCTCACAGCCTTATAACAGGATAGAATGGGCTGTAGCGCAGATTGTGTTAGTATATGGAGATTGGGTGAATCTTGATCCAACTTGTTTACATTGCCTATTTGATAAATTCTTATTCCATTTTGTTTGATTTATTCAAGTTAAACGTTTTATCTGTTTTTGGACTTTATCCGAATGATTTAAATGTAATGAGTGTGTCGATATTTTAGTGTATTGTTGGTGAATAGGGAACCTTTTACAGGAGCTGGTGCTTTTTTGCTATCAAGAGCCACAGATGCCATATTGTCGGGGACGCGATTAGTCTCAGGTCTTCGTTCAGCTGATAGTTTAGAAATGTCTGTGTTGCCCGAGTTTAATACACAAAGCATACTTGATTCGAACACTCCGACAATATCATCACGAATAACAGGAAGGCAACGTATTTCTCTTCCAAATCAGTCACTATATACAGCTGCTAATCGTACAACGTCACTGTCCAATTTAATCAGTGCTCCAGAATTAGAAGAAGTACAAATACCAGTTAGTGATGATCTTCGTTTTGCATCGAATAATGTTACCAAGAATAACCCAAATAAACCCCGCGTTGTAGTTGTCGGTTTTGTTGGTGGTGTAAGCCATGCAGAAATATCAACTCTAAGAACCGTAGCTGCTGCTGAAGACTGTAAGTGGACAGTAATCGCAGTTTAATTGCTTGTTTGAGGGTTTTCTTCGTATGTTTCATATCATTTTCTATACTTTGTCGTATAAAATCATGCATGTTCAATACTGATCTTCTCCGTATTAACTAGATGTTATTCGTATGATGAATTGAAAAATGGAATAATCTTTGTGTGGTTGGATGTATTAGCTTGTATTCGTCTAACTAGTAAATGGTGATACAACAGAGTATGTGTTTTGGGTTATTATGTTTCAACAAGGGAACATCGTTGAAATGCAATCCTGTATGCTTATCAATCTTAGCTACAGTCATCAGTTGCAACAAGTTTTCTAGGAATTCCACAGACTGTAAACTGACAGTCAGTCATTTTATGCATTCTTATCACTTCTTGAGGATTCTACTATAAATCTGCCTTCTATGTCACTCGTATTCCGTCCAACTGAGCAGCTCAATTTACAGTATCACTTGGTGGAAGCAAATGAATGCCCTCTGCTACCTTGAATGTCAGTAACTGACTGCAGAGTGGAACTGCCTTGTCTACCTAACTGTTGATTGATAATTGAATGTTTCACACTACATGTAAGGTGAACATAAATCAAATCTTGTCTCTGTTCCATTTTCATTGGCAAATAAACTGTCACGGTTAACAGATTTACTCAGATAATAAGAAAATCTACTAGACATTCGAACTTTGTCGGGCAATATATTAACAGAGTTGCTAGGGGATTAGTGTGTATTTCAGTAGTTCTGAACCTCACTTATAACACAATTTATATTATAGTAGTATTCTTTTGTATGTAGCAAATGTCTACATCAGTTATGCATTTTCTCTTATATTCCAATCCTAGTTTAATGCACTTTTCTGAAGTAGCCTGGCAGATGTAGATTTAGCTAGTGTAATATGGAAAAGTCGATGTCTATATATCGGTAATGAATGAATTCATGAGTTTTGTACACAGGGTCCGATGAGTGTACAAGTCGCTCATTTCAATTTATACTTGTATATATTTACTCATTATTTTTATTGCACTTGTGTTGATTATAACTGACTGACAACTGACAAAATCAACGTAGAATCTCACACGCATGTGCATCACCTCAAGTTGTCACACTTCAAAATAGAATACACAGAACAGGTGGATACAATAAGACTGATAGCTGAGTAAACAAAGTTGTGTGAGAGAATGAACAATCTGAAGAAAAAGGTTAGTGTGAATATTCAAGCTTCAGAAGATGTCAAGGAGTGAATACACCTACACTATTGTGACCGATTTCCTTTCATATCACCAACAGTCCTCAACCACTGATTACTTACTTTCGTCTCGGATATACCAACCAGACAATCAACATCGCGTCATACGAGTGAGGCCAACAGGAAGAGACTTCCTGGACTGGTGCCATGTCTTGGCCTGGCCACGCTGAACCCTCTTCCAACCTACTTCAACTTATCCCCTATTATGGCACATCGAGGCAGGTGGTGGCTAGGATGTGCATTACATTTCCAAGTCATCTCAGTCGATGAAGATTCGCAAGCTGGTCAATCGACTCATCTATCTTGTCCAGTACCGTTCGCCTGATCTGAACATTGTTCACACGGTGATTTCACCAAACGTGAGCAATGCAGAAATGAGGATTTATTTCAGCAAATTTGTTTATTCTTGCCTCACTAAAACATTTAACAGTAATTTGTGATAATTCTATAGGCATTAATTACTGTCTGGAATAAATTAACATTTAGTGACATACCTCTTCTATAGGCGCTCCTCTCAAAATGCAGTCTTCTATGAAAGGATGTGCTTTATCCGTCTCACTGTGATTAAGGAAATCTAATTGAAAAGGCAAAAATCAGTGAAGTCAATTACTTTATTACTAATTACAAAACATATATTATAGTAGACTACACAATGCAGTGATTGCAGTAAATGTATTCAACAGAAACATTTTCCACAGTTTAAAGAAGAACAGGAATACTCAAAATTGTAATCGTGTTACCGTCGACTGCAATAAAGTTTGGCCGATTTCGTTGGAAACATGGATAAAGGCTAAGAACCTAGTGAACTGGAAGGCCAGTGAAAATCACCATAAAAAACTGAACTACGACACAATTCTCTTTTGGTCATCGTTGAATGAAATGCAACTGATCAAACAAATGCGCGTTCGAGCAGCAGGCAGTGATTAGCACCTCCTATGTGAAGGCCAATGATACTACCGACCAGTTCGAGACCACGATAGGATAGGTGGAGGAGGATTCACACTCTCAACCTGCTGGTTAAAAGTCGAGCACCTAGACCGATAGACCATAACTCCAATTCGTCTCAACTCATTTGTCCAAAGAACTAATAAGTAAATGTGATTGATAATCCAGGCTTCTGTACAAAAATTTTCTTCAAACACTTTAAATCACATTTGATAATCTATAAACTACAACTGTAATTATGTGTTGTGTTTTCATGATGAGTTCCTCTTAAAGATTAGTCAGTGAAAATGAAAATTGATTTTTTCCGAGTTGGATGACCAATTTACAAGGTGTCGCTACTAAAGGATATATATAACGAACAGTAATACTGCTTGAATAAATTATATGATTTGAGTGATAAATATGAAAGGGGGAAAGTGGCAAACACATCAAATCAGTCCCACATGAGCGCCCTTCAACTAAAAAAGACACTCGACTGGTAAATTCATAGTATAGTTGTTAGTTATCAATAGTTATTGATACTTAAGGACCAGTTCACTGTTTATTGGCCTGAATTCGTCTTGCGTAACCTCATCATGCTGCTGATGAGATCTCAGCTTGGATATAAAAAGGTCCGTTTGGCATCCGCCAACTTGTGTCATCTCTGTCACTGACTGACGAGATATCCGACAATCAATTAAGGAATGAGTATACTGCGCTTCAGTCCGTTTTTTCCTGTTGTACAGCTGTGAAATATGGTTTCTGAAACTAAAAGACATGAAACGGTTACAGGCTTTTCATTACAAGCATTTTCGTAGCATTGCTCGCGTTTGGTGGAATCACTGTGTGAGCAATGTTGAGGTCAGGCAAAGGGTACTAGGCAAGCTAGGTAAGTCGACTGATGAGGTTATTTACTACTGTAAAGTGTGGCAACTTGGACTGATGCACTCGTACGCGAGGTTCTATCTTGATTCTGTCAGTCTGTTATCATACTATTGCCAATTCGTGAGGGAAGATACTTCCACATTTTAGATGGGTTATTCGTTTTAATACAGCAATCTTGACTAAATAACAAATTTAGAAAGCGCTGTGAATACCTTAAAGAACAGAATGTATAATCGCACTATTTCAGAATCGCTTTCTTCTATTGTCAAGATAGTAGATCTCTGTGATTGCCTGAGTTGCTGAAATTCTAGATATTTGCAAAATCGAAGTAGGAGGCTTACTGCTAGCCAGTATTGCAGAATGTATTCAAGCAGACAAAGAAAAGTAACAACGACTGTTTCACTTGTAGCAGATGAAAGCTATCACCAGTGTTCCCCGACGAATACAGCTGAAATGACTAGTTTGTTAAGAATATCTGAAATGGCGTTAACCTATAACACTGTAATCCTCACAGTCTCTAAACAATTTGCGAATCGTTAGACAGACTCTTCACAATTACGAAATCTGTAAAGTAGGAAGGTACGTAAGATGTAAATTACCTTCATATCTTACAATCAAAATCCTACTTCTGTCCAACTTTAATCATTGAATAGGAATCATCGAATAATATAGTATTTTTATCCTTAATATCATATTTTTCTAAAGATGGGATCACATGAAATTTGTTTAAAAATACTTTTTGTACAAGGTCTCCTTTTACATAAATGTAATTGTATGAAAAACCAAAAAGCATACCTTGCTGGGCTTTTAAACTTAGCAGAAAATCATCGGTTTTCACACGCTTTTGTATTTCTTCTGCAAGTGAAGTATCTACAGTTAAAAAAAGAGCAATAAAAAGAAGAATACGAACACCATTTGATATAATTACATTTACTGATAGTGCATTTAAACAAAAAAAAAGGCTTCTACTCACACGAAGTAATTGAACCATTTTTACTATATAGATTCCAACTAAGCCTAAAACGTGTTTTATACACAGAATACTCACTGAATGCTGAATTACACTGGAAGATGATAATATGTGAGAGGAATGAAATGAATCACAATATTTAAGAGCAATACGGCATAAACTCACGTATCTCAAGTTCTGATCGCTTTAATCGAATTTCTGGTATTTGACTGACTACACGACGCAAATCCGATAGTTCCTTGGCTGATCTAGACTCCTTTTAAATACAAACATGCATACATAACAGTTATCTATTGGAAAAAAGATGGTGAGATAAAACAAAAATAAAAGAAGTAGTCTGATACTATGACTATATCTCAATGTTTTGATTCAATATTGCCCATCTGACAGCTTTCGATAGAATACATTCTTTGTATCATTTGAAATGCAGTAGGTGGGCACGTAGGCAGAGATTGCAGCAAGAACCGGCAAGTCTCATGACATTTCCTAGCTCTTACACATCCATTCAGTAAGACAACACACACACGGCTGTAAACTGGTATCCACGAGAGAAGTATGCTCTTTGTTCAAGAACTTAATGTTATGCCTACGCCAGCGAGTTCACTAGAGCTAGCCCATGAATCTTCGAATATTCTTAACGTTAATTCCGAAGATTCACAACATTGACCAAGTGAGGTCAAGTTAGTAACGACAAACTGACCTTGCACACGCGTCTCAGAAACATAGCATACCTCATCCATGGCTCGGAATCTGTTGTCCGATTTATCTTGGGGTTTGGACGTTGAAAGCCTCAATATGAAGTTGAAGTTTTAGGAGACTAAGAATAGGGTTTCGATGGTTTCGGTCGTTGGCAGTGGTCACATGGTGAGAGCTAAGAGAAGTTGTAAGGTGCTTAATACTGGCATTAGAAAATGAAAAAGGCAGGCGATTAAGATAAGAAAGATGAGTTACAGTTGGTTGTGTCTTGTTTACCACTGGAAGCATGCGAATGGTCGATACTTCTTCTCTGCCCATACCGCGGAGATCGCTTCTACATAGTACCTGAAAGAGAATAAGATCTAGTTTTACGTGGCCACAGAACCCTTACGACACCCACTTGAGGTCTATTACACACGGCTTTTTGAGGATTGTTAGTTTCAGATTTTATTGTGGTAACGCCAGATAAAGAACTCCCATCCAGTCGCCACCGGAAGATTGCAGGGCAGTGATTAGTGTGCTATTTTCGGGGTCGACCTGTTCCAAATCCCTCCTCCACATAGGGAGAAAATCACCAGCATAGCACTTTTGGTCATATGTGGGAAACATCTTACTGCCATCACAAACTATTTAACCAACAATGCGATTTCGTCCTTGAATCCCCTACCCCCCCCCACCACCACCACCACCACTATCATAACATAGCAATTCGCATTACGGTGATAACTACTTTTTGTCTTACCACTATCCAAGTAACCTTTCTTGCATGGTAGGAGGCCGTCAGGGAACAAGTGTTCCAGTCAATGTAGCTCGTTGGATCATTATGAAGTGCAAGCCCCACCAAAACGTCAAGGTAGTAGCGATCGGTCACGATTGCGACACGTGTTACTAAAACTATCAATGGATAAAATAGCTAATATCAAAGTTTTACAAAACCAATGAATAACTCACTGCAACAAGCGTAGAAATTTCTTTTGTAAGCTGTGATAGAGTAACTCCTACGGAGGAAAAATTTTGATCGCGTATTTCTGCGTACACCATGTCTGTTGAATTGAGTACTAGCTTTCTCGATGTTTCACTGTCTGACGAACGATATGGACGACAAATACCTGTGAAATACACAACAAACTGAATATTTTACCAACAGTCAGTCGAAATAATCTCATAAAAGTCAATAAGAGAGGATGGATCATTTGACAAAGAGCGTCTACTGTCTTAACAACAGTTGACAGTGGTGCTGAATACATACATTTCTAAACAACCTTGACAACGCTAAGTTCATTGATATGTTAAAAGAGTTAACAACCAATGACAGTTCAACCTTCAGAAGCAGTGGGGAAAAAATAAAAGTAAGCAACAGCGCCAAGAGGGCGCGAGAACAGCAATAATAAAGTTATTTTAAGGTTATGAGCAAATATCAAACAAAATTAGGAGTATATAACATAATATCAATTGCATAACAAGTGAGGATAAAAAGCAAGTTGTCGATACCTTTCTCCCAGGAAGTTGTAATGTTTTCGCAGTGCAACTACTAAAGGTATTCATTGTTGTATAAGAAGGTTGAATTATCGACAAAGTCACCCATAAAAGAAAAAAACTAGTTACACAAACACCAGAGACAGTACTGTCAAACACCTGAAGAGAAAATATTCACCTGTTTACCATTACCAGTTCAATAAGAGAAAACGAGTAGTTACAAACAATAACTTGTTATTAAACAATCCTCATCACTAGATTGGTATGTAATTTTACATTTTGAAAATGTTACATATTAGTGTAGAGCTACTGACGAGGAACTAATTGAAAAGAAATAAACCGATTAACAATATTCACTCACTTGAATCATTGGAACCAAAACTCAAATAAATTGAAAACCTAGCTGTTGATGTATGTTGCACTTTGAGTACATGAACCGGAGATATCAATAAACTGCTTTAAAGTAATTACTCTTTTCAAATCAGTCCAAGAAGTATGACTGATTGACAACTGACAAAATCAACGTAGAATCTCACACGCATGTGCATCACCTCAAGTTGTCACACTTCAAAATAGAATACACAGAACAGGTGGATACAATAAGACTGATAGCTGAGTAAACAAAGTTGTGTGAGAGAATAAACAATCTGAAGAAAAAGGTTAGTGTGAATATTCAAGCTTCAGAAGATGTCAAGGAGTGAATACACCTACACTATTGTGACCGATTTCCTTTCATATCACCAACAGTCCTCAACCACTGATTACTTACTTTCGTCTCGGATATACCAACCAGACAATCAACATCGCGTCATACGAGTGAGGCCAACAGGAAGAGACTTCCTGGACTGGTGCCATGTCTTGGCCTGGCCACGCTGAACCCTCTTCCAACCTAATCCAGCTACTCCTAGAATGGGGTGTAGGGGTACAGGATGGCTTGGGATGCCAAGTACATGGACACCGCAGTTTATACAAATAAATTAAAGTGTTCCACTAAGATTTTTATTATTATTACCTGTGCAAATATTGACTCAAATTGTCAATCTTAAATTTTATACTCACCGAATCGAATTCCCCATTCCTCATCGACTAGTCCAGCATATGTTAACTGACTTAACAGTGGAGTTAGAAGATCAACAGATCGGTCGATGAGAATTAATAATTCAGTCTGACTGTCAGTTTCATCTAAAGCAGAAAACTGTGATTGGTTCTTATTCGAAGCGCTGGTTTCATTAGACATACGTTTTAGCATTTTGGCCACTTCCTGTAGAAGAAAACAAAGGCATCCATGGTCGATAAAACTGTGTGATTACATAGTGTTATTTAGAAAACTCTTTTGATGTACAGTGAACCGTTTTCATATTTCTATCATAAAAGAAAATGAGAAAAAGAACCAAATCGAGCGGAAAACATGTCCGAATTGAGGCTTAGATAGTTTTTAAAAAAATGTTATCAGTTGATCTTGTATGGGGAGAACCAATGTTCTAGCCCAACAGAAAACTAAAATTTCAAACGACGGTTAAAGATGAACCTTCATATGAAAACCAAACAGGTGGCCAACTATTGTACTTTCAAAAACGTTGATCTCAGTTTCTAGCCGATAGTTGAACCCAATTTAAAGGTGATAAACGTAGATCGGTTGTACTTTATTGATCAGATTCAAACTTATGCAGGTGACAACAGTTATTGTTTCAGTTCATTCTGATCACAGGAATGTTATTCATAACTATCATGTTTATTTTAATGATTTGAAAATTATTTACTTTCATTCCTTATCGATTTTCATATATTCTATCTTTTCACTCCACACTAACAGAAGCCTATGTAGTGGACTTTATGACCGATATTCATTGTGATAAAATGAGAAAACAGATTGTCTCCATAATTAAAATTTAATAATGGCATACAAATTGTAGGATTTTGGAAAACAACCCTCATCGTTGAACTATATATTCTAACATTAAAATGTGATTTCTAAGGTAATCTTGAATACTAAGAGACAGTATTGAGCAAAGTATTATGGAGTAATTAATTTATTGATGGAATTATCTCAGTGTAAGTTATTTAAGTGATAAGTGAATAACAATTTTGATAGATGATAAAGTTATAGCCTTTAAGTATATGATAAACAGATAATCAATACTTCTCTGAATCATTGAAATAACTCATGTCTTCAAATTACCAGTTTACATGGAATCCGTTGACAAGTACTTTTGGACCTAATTATCGGTGCACCGACATTTCTAGATCTAAAACAATTACTCCCTCTTCTGAATTAAGACAGTGTAATTAGAAGATGAAGTATAGCTGAGCAACATGTGATGTATTTGCACAATACACAATAAACAAGCTGATAACATATTTCCTTGTTAAGTCAATTTATATTAAACTGAAACATGAGAAGGCAAATAGAACAATTAAGATAATAGGGGAATAAAATTAGAAAGATGAGTGACATAGTTGATCCTAATCTTGGTAAGAAAAAAGACCAAGTCTACCAAGGCAGGTGTAATGTAGGAACAAACTGTTTTTTTACACACAAAGGTGGTTTCAATTTGTGTATGGTTATCGATTCCATGAATCTTAATATGCATCCCTAACTACTTCCATATAAAACTTTCAAAAGTCTTAGAATATTAATTTTGTAACGTGTTTCTATGATAATGTTTACCTATAGATGAACAGTCATCTTCCAACTGTGCTTAGTAAAGTTTTACACTTCATCTATTTTTGAAAGCCATTCAAGTAAATGTTCACCCACCCTTAACTACATGCTTCGATTACACCTCCCTATGTGTATGTGTGACGACCACGTACACATATGTAGACTGGTGAACACAATAGAATGTACATTGAAAATTCCCATTTAGACACTTAGAAAAAGACTGATTGAGTGAAAAAGTATATTCCTTTTCAATTACGTCTTCGTCTTTGGCTCTACACTAATATATAGGTGATCTGCGATTCAATCAAAATGGGATGTGACGTAATCATCTGTGTAGTGTTTCCGTTTGCAGTGAAGTATATGTTTCGTTTTTCTCAATAATAATAATAAGCTTAGCTGCATAATAGATTTTCTTAATAGCTGACGTTAACCTACGTCTCAAAATTATACTATTCAACTAAAACCAACTACATACGCGGCTAAGAATAGTGTCCACATCACTCTACCATACACAGGGGAGTTGAGTGGCATAATTTTAAGACGTTCAGTTATTAAGAGAACCTATTATGCAGCTAAGCTTATTATTGTGGAAAAAACAAAACATGTACTACACCGCAAACCAAAACACTGAACAAATTATTACGTCATATCCCACTGTGTTTACCAGTTAACACACATGTATGAGCAGATTGTTCGAAACGTATTGTGCAAATAGATCACACATTGTTGAGACAACCTTCGTCTTCGAATTACACTATCTACACTTCTAGTGATCGTCCGCTTTCGATGACGTCTCATATTGATTCGCTGTGGAAGTGACGCCTAATTAAAATTTTGAAAACATCAATGAAAACTTAAAGAAAGTCAGTTTAAACAGTCGATAGAGAACATTTTTGGCATACGAACAATATGCTTACAATAGCCTTTTCTCCTTTGGCATATATTTTTGGGAATAAACCGAAAAGAGATTGAAATCTCATCAATCCCTGCACAAATTGATAAACACCATCGGGCCGTTCACCTACTGAGTAGTTCTAGATGAAGGAAATTAATTCATTAGATTATAATCATTAAAATTGTGAATACGAACAGCGAAACACTGAGAATCTTCCATGGATAGGACATCATACTCGACAGGTACAATCGTCAGAGGAAACTCAGATATATCCGTGAATTTATTGATCAGTTTTTTCTCCTTCAAGAGACTTTTACATGCGAAAGAAAATCTTGGAATTGCAATAATACCATATTGTTTTCCAGTATCTTGACTCGACTGTGAATCTCTATTTCAAGGAAAATGAAGAATAATAGAAAGTATAACTCACCTTTGTACAAACGATTGAACACAGTCAACAACACCGACTTTTGGGCTGATAATAAATACTACAGATTTACATCCTGGTGGAGAAGAGGCGTCTTTGGTAGATGGAAGGAGAAAAGAATTCATAACACCATGCTTCTAAATATTTTTCTGTTTTAATTTTCAAAAAATTAACCCGTTACTTTCAAATCAGAATTGTTAACTACAGAACTCATATGAGCTAAAACATCCTTCTCCCAGTATATACACTATAAGTGAGGAGAAAACGATAAACTTATACTGAATTGTAATACCTTGGGTGAAGGATATACACCAATGTAACTGAGGAATTCTTTCTGATAACTTTCTCGTAACACATCAATGTTAAGAGGACCTTCTGTCAAATGAGTCATAATACTGACCAGTTTTTATGGATTATTCTCACTTAAAAGTCTTACCCTAAAACATAAAACAAAAAGCATATAATATGTACGATTGAATACAAAAGTTTTGAATAACCAGTTGTAATATGAAAGGAGATCATTTCCATCTAGAAAAGATTAATACAGGGACGATCTGAGATAGAACTGAATCAGTTTAAACTGTCATGCTTACCAGCAGAATAGGGAACATATTACCAGTAGTAGAAAAACGTATATCGAAACACGAAGGATGGAGAGAGGAAAGGGTAAACGAAAGTTTAGAAAATATTCCCCTTCTTTAGAAAAAGTAGTGAATTTATCTAAATTACTATGATCAATTTTGAGTCATTTCACAAACAGTTTGTGTTTATTGATTCCTAACATCACATGAAACACTGTCAAGTGTAAACCACATTTTCCTGTACTATTTAGGAAGAGTCACAAACCTCAGGGATGAACTTACTCACTAAGCTAATTCAATGTCAAGGTAGATGGTGGCTAGGCAATAACACATATCTCAGTTACCTGAGTCGGAAAAGATTATCGTCACCCGACAACTTGCTTCTCTTACACACTACTTTACATCCAACATTAATATCCACAATTCTGAGGTTACACAACACGACAATAATGCTACAAAGACACCTATGGTTAAAACTTGCAACCTCTTCAAAACTGCCACCTTCAAAAACCAAGTCCTATACACTAACAATGAAACTGAACGCACTAATATGCTGTACACTCATCTTTTATAGGTGGTGGTATGACATATTGCCGGCGCCAAACATGAAAATTAGTAGTTATTACATGGTTGACATTCATGTTTTAAACAACAAGCCACAACTCCAATTTGTACCTAAAATTAGAAAACAACCCAGTCCACCCTAAAATGTAGGGGAAACACTCAGTAGGCAGGAGGGGGTCATGAACACAAAACGGACTACTGTAGACGCATAATTCCCATAAATGAATGAATAACACAACAAAGTCGTTTTTGACGACGTTCTGTTGTTTAGTGCTAACAGTTATATCAAAGTACTAGTCAGAATTAACGACACAAAAATTTTATATACGACACCCCGATGAAAGTTATTCTTAACAGATGATTCTGGATTATAGTTGAAAAATATTGTAAGGTGCGAACTGTAAAGTTACTGACTGACTGACTAAAAAAATAAACGTAGAACTCGTACATACTTGCATCGGCTCAGCTGAAGCTTGCATGTGCTCATGCGACTATAGTTTCCATCGCAAGTGTGTTGAGTGCCACTTTGTGGGGGTAGATAGAAGCCAGGTTTAGTCATATTTTATTTCCTCCTAACTACCCAGAAAATTTAGACTGTATTTTATGTGAGGGGATTACACTACAATAAGTTTCACATAATGTTAAAACACTTCCGTCAACGATTATAACATTGTTAAAGTTCAGTCTTCAGTGATAGAGATAGTACACTAATTTGACTCATATTATTCCTAGTAGTAAATATCTATAGGAATTTAGTTTCTCTATGAATGCATACACCCAAGTAACTCATAATACTTGCTTGGGTAGGGAGTTTCACTTGCTAAATACTCAATGGGAAAAGTCCAGGTTCAAACTAAGCCGATTTGATCAGTCTTCAAGTTTCTTTGTGGTAGCATCGACGACAATCGGTGCTTAAAACAGAAAACATTAAAAAATGTCAATTCCAACATCATTTTAACGGTACAAAATGTTAATATATGGCTAACACGTATTCTGCGATAATACAATGGGAATAGATTAAGCCGATCTAAATGCTAATTATGCGATAGGTTGGATACACTGCCGACTTTTAAAACACACTCGAACTTTAGCGTCTTTTCTAAAGCAATGATTGCATGCCTGAATGAAGGATTTCAAGGTAGGATCACAAATATCCGGGTAGAAGATGCAAAGTACCCTAGAGCTTTTGAGCTACAGCTGCACTGTAATGAGCGGACATATTCAAGTCATGGCTTACGACCACTCCAAATTTCTCAATGACTTGAACTTCAAATACTTGTATCCCGTCTACTACACACAGGTGACGACTGCCATGACCAATATACGTAACTTCCAATCAATTAATATCAACATAGGACCAGGCATTACTGCGTAACGGTCCGAGTTGCCACACCTCATGTCAGTACATCAAGTAGAAAGGTAGTGAGGTGAAGGATGAAGATAAATGAATACAGTCAAAAGAAATATAAAGTACGAGAAGAAGGAGAAGAGGAATGACAAAATGGTGAGATTCGGTATAGTGTCGTTAAGATGAAGATAATGTGTGTACACATCTGCGCCACTGACTTCGGTTCTGAGCAATATCCTCTAGAGTCTCCAACCACTGGTTCCTCTTGTCCCGCAGACCCCAACCGCCTAGTCTACATCGCCCTACATGGCTTAAACCAATAGTCAGAGACTTCATACATTGGTGCCGTGTTTTAGTCTGGCTACCTCGAGCCCTTTTCCAGCCTGGACCTACTTCAGCCAACACCGTGTGACAAGGCAGACGGCAACTAGGCATCCGTAACACATATCCCAACCATCTCAGCCGATGAAGGTTCACAACCACATCAACTGATTTACCTCTTCTCCATAAAACTCTATACCTGACTTCTGCATTACTCACATGGTGACACCACAGAATACGGCCTATACTAAGAAGGTAACAGTGGTCTCATATCTTCCACTTTCAATGGCCATGTTTCACAGCCATACAGCAGAACAGAACGGACTGCTGTGCAGCACACGCGACCCTTAATATACAAACGGATATCACGGCGGCGCCATTATTATTATTATTTGTCCCATGGGTTTCTAATGGAACATAGGGCTTCAGTAGCACCTCTCCAATGCGCTCTGTTCTCTGAAATATTTTCAACCTGGCTCCACGACAGCCCACAAGCTCTCATTTCCTCCTCGTACGATCTCTTCCATGTCACCCTCGGACGCACAACTCGTCGCTTCCCATCGGGATTCCAATCCACGGCCTGACCTGGCGCGATGTCCCCAGTCGGCCTTCTCAGTGTATGCCCAATCCATCTCCACTTTCTTCTTCATATTTGTTGAGCAATGGGTTCTTAGTTGGTTCGTTCCCAGAGTTCCTTGTTGCTTATTATTTCTGGCCATCTGATCTTCAGTAACGAGCTAGCGTAGGCAGTTGCTGATGAATGTCTGCAGTCTGTTGAAAATTCCTTTCGTAACGAGCCAAGTCTCTGAACCATACGGAAGCACTGACTTGACGTTGGTGTTGAAAATCCGGATGTTGTTCAAGCTTTATGCTGAGTGCAGTGCAGATCTCCATACTGGTTTCAGGCTAATGAACGTCTGTCTTGCTTTTCCGATCCTGGCTGGCTTTGACGTCCTCATCTGTGCCGCCACTTGTAGTTGAAACAGTGCTGCCTAGATAGGTGAAGGAGGCTACTTCCTTTAAGTTTCTCTCGTTTATGGTGATTGGAGTTTCTGGCTGTTGTTGTTTGGGTATCTTCATCACCTCTGTCTTCTTTATATTCACTTGAAGTCCTGTCTTCGCTGACCTGCTTCTCCTGTCAACTTGTTAGTTTTCGCCTGTACATCTTCAAGTTTGTGCGACATCAGACAAAAGTCATCGGCGGCGCCATAGGTGGCGTAAATTGGCAAAACCCAATCGAGCCTTTTGTATCAGTGCAGAGATTTCATCGGCAACTGACCCACCAGGGATACGTAATTTTATAAATGCTAGAAATAATTTCTAGACACCAGCGTTTAGGCCAGCCGACTAATTCAATTAGACTCACTTGTAATTCATATTTATAACTCATTACGCACCAAAAATCATTTCTTTTCACATGTGGTCACTTAGTTTCCAAGTCACTTTTTCCCGTCTTCTACTGCACAAGAATTTTTTATTCCACCCATATAACTCAGTATCAAACTCCAAAAAAACAAGCTTCCTCATCAAATCGAAATGCGGAAATTTATCGAAAACCTTACTAAAGTAAATTAGCTGAGTATTCCTGAACAGCTTGCTGTGAACCATCGAAGTCATGAAGCAGATATGTGAAATCGTGGTTTGCAACATGACTGAGCACTCTATTCCCTAACAAACTTTCGAAAACTTTAAATATTATTTAAACCAATGGGACGATAATTTCATAGCAGGTGCCAGTTATCTGCCTTGAATATTGAGCTGATTAGGGTATTTTTCCAGTTTATCACGCTCCAAGTCTGAGATAAAGACGTATTAAGTAGCTCAGCAAGCAACAAGAAAGATAAGCCTTGGATGCACACCATCAGGACCTGAGGCTTTTCGAAGCATGATTAGCAGCTGAAAGATTGCACTTCTTGTAGTGTGGACAAAACCCACCGGTGAAGTATGTCTATCGTAGCCAATCGGTCTAATGACGCTTCCACTTATTAAACCAACCAATGTCAGAATACGACCAGGCATTGCTGCCTAATAGTTCAAGTTGCCACGCCTCGTACCAGCACAAGTAACAAAGTAGTGAGATGTAAGATTCAGAAAGAGAAAAATCGGTCTTCTGGAATTTTCCACATGCCTGATGAAGTTAAGGTTTGCAAGATCAGAAATAAGCTTACTTTACAAGTAACTCCGACCAGACGTCAACATCTAGCAGACTACAATCGACTAACCAACTCTAAAGAAAGTACGCTGCTTCATCTAAAGCGTAATGACTGTCACACTGTTAGACCCAAGGAAAATGAGATGAAGGGACTATTGAAAGTAAACTATCTTACTTTTACACTGACAAAAATGCATCTTGTGTCAATCTAGAACTTGCAACCCTGCAGTCAATCTTTCAACAGTTAGATCACAAGTGTTTTCACAGATCCTAAACAGCATCATACGATCTCACCTACGATTTGGAATCAGTCTTTTTGCAGGCTAGCGAAAGTACTCCCAAACACAACCATGAAGAAGCTGGCGTCTATCGATACACCATCCGTTGACACACAGATCGCCGTGCGGAACTTGAAGAATGTCCTATGACAAACCGAAAGTCGGGCGCGTAAACTACCTACGAGGTTTGTTGACGGGGACTTAGAAAACTCGAGTATCTCTAGGTTTTCGCATCCCCACAGCTAGCAGGCTTAGTCTCAAAACTACCGACCGTAAGAGTAGGTCAACTTCTAATGAAAGAGACGGGGCTGGAATACTCTTAGCACCAACTAAAGAACTATGCAAGCCGCTGGTCCTGCCCAGTTCCACGATCCAATTAGTGGCGACAAGTGCATATAAGGGGGTGAAAACCCGTTCTCAGGCTGCCAGTGTCAAGGTCATTAAACCAGGCCTTCCACACCCGGCTCTGAGAAATGGCAAGTAAGACCAAACGAGAGGCCGAATAGCCGGCAGCGACCATAGAACTAACTGTTAGCACTCCACAGAGCAAGGATGAAGTAGAGCCCCTTGAAATGTCTGTAATCTTCTATGCATGGGAAGAAGGTAGATAAGCAGAACCACGTAACCTGTTCAAACGTGACCTCAGGAGGGTACAAAGTTTGGTTAACAGGCTGTTACCAGAAAACATACCAGGGGTCACCCTACTCAAGGTATATAGGTTGGGGAGAAACGAGACTTCCTGCCGACAACAGGTTTTAGCTACTTAAACCTATGTTCAAATCAACAGACAAGAGGGGTCAAAATATGAAGAACCCTCTTAGACTTCAAGGAACTGGAGCATTCGCGCGTAAGGATCTGCTTCTTGCTGGTCGAATGGAAAAAGAGAAGCAGAAGAACTGAAACACAGATGAGAAGCAGGGGGTTTGGCGACAAATGATTCTTAGTATTGTAGTAAGCATATGAGGTCCTGACATCATTGCTATGTAAGAAAATTGCCTCTCCCGATATCAGTGATAGCGAAACAGTCACGAGGATTCGTTCCATTTAGAAGTGATAGGTTAGCGTGTGGAGATGGCGGTCATCATTCACGTTAAGAATACCTTAACTGCAAGAGCAACAGAAACGATTTCATATGAAAGAAGGACGTGTGAAATGCTTCCTCTGCTGACCAAAACGTAACGCACAAGATACTAACCTAATCCTAGTATATTGAAGCTCTTGAGTGTGAGAAGACCTCCTGAATAAGCTGACCCTCTAGACATATAACCGACGAAGCCTAGTTTGGGGGAATTCGATGCACAATCAGTTGACTAGGACAAACTAACAACAGAAGCATCACTTGATTTGCTTGACCATAGGTTAGTGGAAATATCAATTCCTCTGGCCCTTATACATCACACCAGAGCAGCAACCAGATACGATCATCAACATGCCCCATCAGTTCTAGACTTAGTGTTCTCACACACACATGATGCATGCTTCATCTGGCACCTCGCACCCCTTGGTAAAGGTGATCATGATGCGATCATCTTCACATTCATAGCAGCCGCCTTGTATCAGGCCAATGCTGAAGTCAGACCCAGTGTTTGGAAAGAGAATATGGCGACTATTAACTTGGCAACCTTTTCGGAGAACTGGACAGTTAGCCCAGAAACCTCCGTTGAGGCTGCATGGTGCGCCTTAAAACAGTTATATGCACGAGTGACCCAACCGTTTGTTCCGTGGACTGTTCTGGAGGGAAGGAAGCATAGTGCACCGTGGATAAACCACGAAATCCAAACCCTTCTGAGACGCAAGAAAAAGTATTGGAGTCTTGCCACCCACTTCGGCACTCCTCGGGTCAAGAGGCATTACAAAGAAGCCTGAAATAAACGTATTGCTTCTATCGCCCAGTCCCGAATATGCTTTGAAACACATCTTGCCCAGGCTGCACTGCAACATCTGAAAAGGTTATTTCCTTATATGAACTATAGGAATAAAACATTTCGTGGTATACCTCACTCCCACCCCCATCCTAATCAAACAGAAGGAAACTAACCATTTATTTGACGACGATAATGAAAAAGTACAAGCTATGGCTGGGTATTTTGCTGAGGCGTTTACACAGGAACCTTCTATGGACACCAATTAAACAGCAGAAACATTGACGTCCAACAGAATAAACTCCGTGGAAAC